TCTATTTATCTTCCCCTGTAAGTTCCAGTTTGAAGATTAGGCATTATATATTTTCTGTAACCTGAGGGTGTCAGAGGTAGGGAGAAGCAGGAACTCCACTGGCAGTAAGTAACTTTTATGAGGAACCAGGTCTGTTTTTTGTTTTTGAGATTCATTAAGTACTATGCTAGGTTTGACTTAGGCTGTATTCCATCCCTAAGGGGGTTTATCTTGGGTATTGGATCATTCTCTCAATTCTGCATGAGGCCCTGGAAAATGGTGAACCCTGTGATTTTGCCTACTCTGTTGAGGCCTCAAATTCCATTGCTTCAAGTAGGAACATTTATTTTCAAAGGTGCTTTGCCCTTTGCCAGGGCTGTCTAATGAGTAGCAGCAATGGTTTGTCAGCTGACCTTCTGTCAGTAGTACTGCTTCTGAGGGACAAAAGTGGGTAAGGAGTCACTCCAAGTCACACAAAAATCTGCAGTTCCTTTTTTTTGGTCACTAATTTCTCACTTTTATGAACTTTTTATGTTGGTAAAGTTTTTGTTTGTTTTCACTATTTATTATTCATTTTATTGAAGGAGGGATACTTTTTCAGATTCATCCCATCTTCTTCACTTGGAAGGTAGTGACTTATTTGTAAAATAGACTAGAATTCCTTTAAAACAATGATCAGCTCCTATTTTTCTCTTGAGCGCTCCACAGGACCTGGCCCAATGATGAATAAATGTTAAGATATGAAAAATGATAGGGATAAAAGATATCATTTCATGTTTTGTGATAGTTCTAAGCATGTTGAACAACAGTCAGATTATTTTCCTTAAATATCTCTCCTGTTACCACTATTTACCAGTTTTGAAATATGAAACCTCTTTCGACTCCGATGATTGATTGATTGATTGATTGATTGATTTAGCTTTGGCTATACCTCATGTTTTCTCAATGCATGTCTACATTCATGCTACCTTTTGTCTAGAACAAATGGTCATTACTAGTCAAACCTTCTTCATCCTTCAAAGCTCAGGTTAAATCCTACCTGCCCTATGAAGTCATCTTACTGACTTTTCTCCCATTCCCATCTCAGGAGGAATCTCTTCCTATTCTGAAGTCCTAGGATCTTCACTGTCTTCACTATATTACCCAGCATACTCCTCATATTGTTTACTAATTCATTGGTATTTATCTCTCAATTCTCCATCTAAAAAGGATGACAAGAATGTTGTCTTTTAGTGAACATTTACTACCACTAAGAGAATTACATATTTATCTCTTTTAATACAACCCCCTATGAAGGAAATTTGCTTAAGTTCATGTAACAGAAAGGGGTACAGTCAAGAATTAAATTCAGTTTTTGGATTCTGAAGCCCATGTTTAGGCATTATATTAACTCTCAGTCTGACTGTAAATTTCTAGTAGACATCAACTGAGTCTTGCATTTCTCTATATTGATTCACTTATACAAATATAATTATTGGGTGTCTATTATATAGAAAATAGAGCCATTAAGTAGACATAAGCCAAGTTTGTCTCTGAAAAATCATATAATATAATAAAGATTTTAAAAAACACATAATTAAGACACATCAAAAATGATAAGGTAGTCAATTCTTATGTGTTTCTTATTTATTATGTTATGTACTTTATATTACATATACTAATTTAATCCTCACAACAATCCTACGAGGCAGATATTACTCTTACCCATTTTAGAGATTAAGAAACGGAGGCACAGAGAAATTAAGTAACTTCTCACAGTTGGACAATTAGTCTGTGCTCTCAAAATCTAGACCTTTCATGACAAAAGTTATAATGAAATAAGATAAATTATTAACACATATATTTAAAAACTATATATGAAATGGAGCAAGAGGAATACAATGATTATATAAGGATATTCAGACTATATCCGAAGTAATTCTTAATATTAGAACTCTATTAGAATTCTGGAAACAGTTTACTGTTTCTATCTATCTATTTATGTATCTATCCTTACCTATCCTGTTCTGTCTGTCCTTGCTTCACTCAGAGTTCTGTTTCAATCTTTTAAATATTGGTATTCCATATTAAGACTCCATTTGGAAAAAAATTCTGTTGCTAAAGAAAAGTTTGAAAACCACTGGACTGGATCAAGGGTTCCTAAATACCTAGGTGCTCAACAGAAATACTAAAGAAATTTTCAAATGACAAATTCCTGGGTCATACCTCTAGACCTAATGAAATAATAACTCCCCAAGGGATTCTTCTGTGCAGAGCCCAAAACTAGCCCAGGTATTTGAGAAGCACTGAACCAGATGACCCTTGATTCCTTGAAAGCCTATGAAAAAAAACAGAACTTAAATAGGTAGGCAGGAATCTTAAGCAACAAGAGCAGGTGGTAGCAGATGGAAGATCATATAGATGACTAAATTAGTACAGTCTTATGAAGGAAAAATAAATGGAAAATAAGGAGCTAGCCTAGGACCAGAAGTTACTCTGGAGGTTAAGCTGCCTGGCAATTATCTCATAGCCTACTGTAACTATCAACGATATTAGTCAAAATGGTTTAATTCAGTAGCAGTCCAAAAACATTCAATGTGAACCATGTACATAACTAAAAATTTTCCAGTAGTCACATTAAAAGTGAAATTAATTTTAATAACATTGATTTAATAACATAACCAAAATAATATAATTTAACATGTAATTCAAGAAAAAAAATTATCAATAATATAATTACCTTATTTTTCTGTATGAAGTCTTCAAAATGTTACAGTACAACTCAATTCAGTCTAACCAGGTTTCAATGCTCAGTAACCACATGAGCTAGTGGCCACTGATATGGTGCAGAAATAATTAATAAAAGCTCAATTTATTTCCTATTAAAATGGATATTCTGGGGGCCTCCCCGGTGGTGCAGCGGTTGAGCGCTGGGTTGCGAAGCTGCCCGCGGCCTCTGCGGCGCCGGTTCGATCCCCGGCTGCTCCCCGGCCACCAGAGGAGGGTCCCACATGGCGCACAGACCTCTCCTGCCGCCCGCTGCTCCCCTCAGCAGTGTACTTCGGTCCTTCTGCCTGCTCTGCTCCCCGCTCTGGCTCGGTGAATTCTCTCACCCTCCTGCGCTTCTGACTGTACCCAGTGCTTGTATAAATAAATAAATAAATCTTAAAAAAAAAAAAAAATGGATATTCTGTACAATAAAAACAAAAAATCCATGGATCACTTTTTTTTTTAAGATTTATTTATTTATTTATACAAGCACTGGGTACAGTCAGAAGCACGGGAGGGTGAGAGAATTCACCAGAGCCAAAGTGGAGAGCAGAGCAGGCAGAATTACGAGGTACACTGCAGAGGGGAGCAGCGGGCGGCAGGAGAGGTCTGCGCGCCATGTGGGACCCTCGTCCGGTGACCGGAGATCGAACCAGCACTGCAGAGGCTGTGGGCAGCTTTGCAACCCAGCGCTCAACCCCTGTGCCACTGGGGAGGCCCCCATGGATCACTTTTATGCCCTAGAGATCCTGCTACCTAGGCTAATCAAATAACAATTTTGTCTGCAGACACCATACTTACACACCTTTACCCCCGGCCCCTCTCTCTCTTCCTAGCAGCAGAGTCTGTGTTCTAGATATATTTGCCAGAATGTCCTGTTCCCAAGGCCTATTCAAAATATTTAAAACTAAATTTACCATCTCTTCCAAAATTAAAAAAAAAAAATTACTTCTTGCTTTTCCTATTGCTACCAGTCATCCAGGATCAAAACTTCAAATGCTTCCTTTTCCTTTATTCTACAAAAGTACCAAGCTCTATTTATTCTTTCTTCACAATCTCTCTCACTGCCCCTTTGCTGGTTCTAGTCTACCTGCTGATGTTTTCAGTATACTGTTACCAAACACATATACTTAATACACTTTTTATGTCATTTTTCTTTAGTGGTTCTATAATGCCTTATGCTTCAGCTTTGAATTCAGGCCCATGCACAGCCTTGTTCTTAGCTCTAAGCTGGCCTATATCATTCCAAACTAATCATTTATCAGTCTCCTAGGACAGCTTTTATTTTAGGCAAACTACCCAGTTTCCTGTCTCTTATATATGCCTTAAAATTCCTCATCTCTGTTTTATGATTTTCTACCTACCTGAATGTCCTTATTCCAGCTTTACCTATCCAAATCATTATTACACAAGTATTTATGCATCAGGCACTGCAGTAGGAAATGGAGATGTAATAGATAATTGTATGCTCAGTTTTCCCTTTTTAAGAAATCTTTCTTTATAAGTCAATTATACCTCAATAAATTGAAATAAAAGAAAATCTTCCTGCCTATGCCAACAGAAGCATTTTTGCATTGCTGTCTATATGCTTACAAGAACTCACTGGGCCCTTACAATTTGCTTCTTCCTACTGCTATTTATCAAGTTTTTCTATAAATATCAATTCATCTTTCCAAATAGAGTGTGGATTTCCTGGAAGCATGGATCAGGGTCATACCAGTGTATTTTTTTTTTTTTTAGCATTTCAAAAAGACAGGTTTATTAGGAAAAGTAAAGAAGAGACTTGCACAGATACAACTGGGCAGGAAGAGCTGCTGCTGCTGTTTTGCAAAGGGAAAAGGTTTGTGAAAAGAATTACCTGCATAGTCACAGGAGTGCAGGAAAGTTGCCTATCAATGTATTTTTTTGAGCACACAATAAGCAGCAGGTACTAAACATACCATTGCTGAATGATAAGTACTTATAAAAGAGTGAAGGGCCTGTGGAACAGGAAGAGGGCCTACCTAGAAAAAAGATACCCTCTCTCCACTCCAGCAATACGGTGGCAAATGATCAGAGGTGACCACAGAGGGCCTGTAAGAACTAAAGCTGGGCAAAGAGTCTGAGAAATTTCATTTTTCAATTCCATTTACAAAGAATTCAGAATTGGTAACACTTAAGTTAGGATCAATTATCTTGGCTTTGGACCTCTACAACATAAGTAAACAGCTTTAAAAATCCATTTTGGTATTAAAATATACATGCCTGATATCAAAGCTGAAAAGATAACTCACCACATGTTGTGTTCAAAAACTTTGGCTGGGTCAGTTAAAATTCTTGATCCCAGAGGAACCAGTGGGTGAGAACCACTTTGGTATCTATGTGGCACCTTTTTTATCCTTAGACAGGAAACAGAATTTCTCCAAATCACATTCATCCTAATCAGCACCTGGAAAGTTGTAAGTGATTAGTCAATATGTATTAAAGTATATTGCTTATATAATAGCCAAACACAAGTCCAAAAGGTTTACAACCTGAGAAAGAATATAAAAATTAAAATTTTATTTTATTTTTAAAATATTTTTTATTTATGCATACAAGAACTGGGATGTAGGCCAGAGATGCGGGAGTGAGAGGATTTACCAGAGACAGGGTGGGGAGCAGAACAGGCAAATCTACTGAAATATACTGCTGAGGGGAGCAGCGGGCGAGGCAGGAGAGGTCTGCTGCGCGTGTGGGTCAGCTCCCTGGCCAGCTGAGAATCGAACTCATGCTGCAGTGGCTGCCTATAGCTTCATAGTGCTGAGACTTAAACCCATGTACCTACCAACAGGGAGGCCCAAAAATTAAAAATTTTAAATAAAAGATGGATATGTTAGCTTCACTCCTGGAGTATTTTTAGGCCAAGAAATGAGAAAAGAACATTTAGAGTGACATTGGCTGGCATTCTTTTTAAGTCACACATAGACTTGACCAACTTTACTTTGTTTGGTATTTGCTTATTTAATTTTTAGCACATGGTCAATGTATGTAAGCCTCGAATCTGGATCTCACACATTAGGAAGATATTTTTTAATGTGATTTTATTCTTTTATTTTGGGAAGTCTAGGCAAACTTATTTCTAGGGAATATTTCATTGCCAGTAGATTAAAAATCCAAGTATAGTAGCAGAATAAGAAAACAAACTTATTAAATCTCAATCCCTGGACTGAGCTGAGTAATATGAAAATTAGTGAAATAAACAAGTAGATACTATATTAAGATATGACCCCAACTATTTTTAATGCTAAACCCCATATAAATATGCTGTTAAGAATAGCAATAACATATCTGCAAAATAAATTTTCATATACAAAATGCTAAACCCTAGCTCAAGAAAAGAATCACCAGCTGATTATGCAAGAATAATGACTCATTTAGAGTATGCCATTTTAATTATGTATTGGTAAATATGTCAATTTAAAATTTTTATGTCAAAGTCTTAAGAAACTCTGAAGGGTTTTCGTTCCCCAATAAGAAATCATTGTAATACTGGTTGGCGTTTCATCCCCATTCAGTTCATCACAGCATTCAGCCTAATGCTATAAGCTGCCAGGAAGAAAAAGATGTTAAAAGGTGTGTGTACATAATATACATTAGCGACTACACAAGGTACTATTAAGCATAAAAATGACATGTATTGTACGCCCTTTACTACCTTACTGAATTCATCAAATGAACTGCAGAATGCTGAAAACATCTCATTGTGCTCGTCAACATAAAATTCAAGATTTTCCTTTTGGAACAAAGACGACTTAGTTACATATACCAAAAACCTGAAATGGTTCCATTCAAATGCGACTAACAGTGATGAGAAATGAAACATTCAATAGCTAGTGCAAATCTCGTTTCCTATTTGTTTTTCCTTCTCCACTAAATGTAGGTTCTTTGGTGAAGGGAAATCAAATTAAATGCTCTGTCTACCACTAGTTTTTCTCTAATGTGCCTTTGTTCTTTTCTTCTGCCAGTGTTCCACATAAGACTAACAAAACCCTACCTGCACAATTATTTTTAGAGGTCTTTCTGCACTGAATATTATTCATAAGATCTACTGTGTAGAAACTGATTACACCTAGAAAGGGAGACAATTCATGCTCAAAAGTGTAAAATGATGTAAATGTTTTTTTCCACCCAGGAAAAGCCAAATCAAAATGAAACTTCAACCCTTCAAATAATTATGTGATACTTCTCTCTATCTGTCTATATATAGAAGAGGAAGAAAGGGAAAAAATGGTAAGAGTTTCTCTACTATAAATGACCGACAACCTCTATAGGCAGTAGTCATAACCAGACTGGATAATTGGCAATTAAGGAAAATTTCAAAGATACACACGCTTTGAAAGCTGCTAGACTATAGAGAGAGCATGGTGTGGCCACATTCTTGCCTTTTGTCTTGCCAAGGTAGTTGTTTTTCTAATTAATACATAAGCATCTTTACCTATTTTATTTATTTATTACCTGTAACAGTCACACAGAGATTTGCATTACTCTTTATCTTTTTTATTATATAAATACATAAAAATTATATAACAGATAAATACATACTTATATAATTACCTTTTCAACTAAATTGCAAGCTATACAGCTTGCAATATAAGCTGTAACGGCTACACCAGTTGCTTGTGAGTGAACTGTTTGACTGACTACACAAAAATTATACTTTTTTGACATAAATTTAGTTGGAAGGAAGTTATTTCATATTTTCCAGGGTGGTGCCTAAGATACTTACAGTATGGAAGGAAGTGACAGACATAATGACTACAATGATAAATGAATGTGTGCTTTATGTTATAACTACCAGATTAGCTTAATGTTTACTAGGTCATGGTTCCATTTTGTGATGAAAAAAGGAGAGCAGGGCAGTGTCAGTCCCAAAGAATTCTGGTAATTCTTTCCAAGTGTAATCAGTTTCTATCTTCAACATACAGAAGGTTTTATGAATATTTAGTGTAGAAAGAGAGTTGGTTTCTGTTACCAGATTCCTATTCTCTTTATGTATCCTCTCTTAACTGTCTATTGGCATACCCTAATTTGAATAGAAGTAACACTGTTTTCATAATGAAACTTTCCATAAGTGGTATTTTTATATGAAACACAAAGAGGTAAAGCGAAAACTGTTTCATTCACCCAAAGAAGGCAACAAAGGAAGAGAAACTAAAAACAGGAGACAATTAGAAAAAAATACCAGTATGGCTATTTAAACCCCGTCATATCAATAATTATATTGTTAATGGGCTCCATTAAAAAAATAAATTGTCAATTCATATGAAAAAGCAAGATTCTACAATATATTGCCTACAAAAGCAGCACTTTAAATGTAAACCTAAAAATATATGTAAAAAAATATCAAATCAAACACTGAATGAAAAACTTGAGAGGGTTATATTGATAGACAAAGTAACTTCAATAAAACATTACTATAGAGATAAAAAGGGACATTTAATAACAAGATCTAATTTATCAAGACATAGCCATTTTTTTTAAAGATTTATTTATTTATTTATACAAGCACTGGGTACAGTCAGAAGCATGGGAGGGTGAGAGAATTCACCAGAGCCAGAGCAGGGAGCAGAACAGGCAGATGGACGAAATACACTGCTGAGGGGAGCAGCAGGCAGCAGGAGAGGTCTGCGCCTAGTGGGACCCTCACCAGAGGCCGGGGATCAAACCGGTGCTGCAGAGGCTTCGAGCAGCGCTCGCTGCCCAGCGCTCAACCACTGCGCCACCGGGGAGGCCCAAGACATAGCCATTTTCAATGCATTATGTACCTAATAGCAGAGCTTCAAATTACTTGGAACAAAAATGGACAGAAGTTTTTAAAAGGAGAAATTGGCAAAATTACAGTACTACTCAGAGATTTTAATACCTTTTACCAGTAATAAATAAATAATATATATACAACAGTATATATATATACAACAGTAAAGAACAAGGGTAGGTGAGGATATTAAGAAACTGGAACCATTGTGCATTGGTGGTAGGAGTGTAAAATGGTACAGCTACTATGGAAAATAGTACAGTGATTCCTCAAAGTATTAAACATGGAATTACCATATGATACAGCAACTCTATTTCTGGGCATATATTTAAAAGAAGTGAAAGCAAAAACAAAATCAAAAAACTATAAAGCGAGTGAAAGCAGGACCCAAAAGAGGTACCACTTTTTAGAGCAGCATTATTCATAATGTAAGTGTCCACTGCAAGATGAATGAATAAATAAAACATGATATACACATATAAAACAGAATATTTAGCCTTTAAAAAGAAGGGGATTTTGACACAAGCTACACAGGGATGACTCCTGACACATTACATTAAGTAAAACAAGGCAATCACAAAACGACAGATGTTGTATCAACTCTCTTTCATGAATTTCTTAGACTAGTCAAACATTCAAAGAGACAGGAATCAGAATGGTGGTTGTCAGGGGCTGGGGAGAGAGAAGAATGCAGAGTTAAGTGTTTAGAGGATATAGAAAATTATTTGGGGAGGGTAAAAATGTTCTGGAGATGGAAAGTGGTGATGTTTGTACAACAATGTAAATATATTTAATGAGACTAAACTGTACACTTTAAAAAGGTTAAAAAATTTTAACTTGATCACATAAAAAGTAAATAAGCAGATCTTCAACCACTATAGTCCACTTATTTGTGATTTACTCTTCTTCCTCTGTGACTTGGAGCTAGAGTGACCTGTACAAGTTTTTAATTTCAATAACAAAAGACAGATAGGTTTTTTCCAGCAAAGGATCTGAGGAAAAAGGACCTTTATTCAATATGTGGTTATGATTCTGGTCTGTTTGCAATAAACAGTTCACCGGAGAATCTACAATTCAGGCAAACACTCCATCCTGAAGTTCTCTTGAGGAGCCCAGAATATGAATGGTGGGCCTCCCCTGGTGGTGCAGCAGTTGAGTGCTGGTGCCCTGACGTGCCCCGCTGCTCCCCTCAGCAGTGTATTTCGTCAGTCTGCCCGTTCTGCTCCCTGCTCTGGCTCTGGTGAATTCTCTCACCCTCCTGCGCTTCGGACTGTGCCCAGTGCTTGTATAAATAAATGAATAAATGTTTAAAAAAATTTTTAAAAAAATATGAATGGTAACCTTTGAGTAGATTCCTAGGAGTGGAATTGCTGAGTCATATGGCGGCTCCATTTTCAATAGTTTAAGGGTCTTTCACAAAGATTTCCAGAGTGGTTGGACCATTTTGCATTTGAAGCAGCAGTATAAGAGTTCCTTTTTCTCCCACATTCTCGCCAGCATTTGTTGTTGCCAGTTTTTTTAATGTGTGCCATTCTTACTGGTGTGATGTGGTATCTCATTGTGGTTTTGATTTACATTTCCCTGTTTATAAGTGATGCTGAACATTTTTTTTCGTACACCTGTTGGCCATTTGCATTTCCTCTTTGGAGAAT